CTCCTATAGGAACCTATAGGTTATTTTTGTAAGGGTAAGGAGAGAGAGAGAGAGAGAGAGAGAGAGAGAGAGAGAGAGACAGACATAGAGGGAGAGAAGAAGAAAGTCAAATGGGGGACTAACGGGGGAGAGAATATAAAGCACCAACAAGTGGAGGGTGGAGCAGGGAGAGGCAGGAGAACGAGGCACAAGCAACAATTTGCCGCACAATTATCATTGATCACCTACGATTACCATTGATCACCTTCGATTACCATTGATCGTGCTCTCGATCACGATGGAGCGTTGCAAGGGTGTGAACATGTTCTGTAAGATTTTGCTCGTCTGCTGGTGCGTGGTTTGCGCGTGGAGTGGAGCAGACGCCTCCTCCTCTACTCATCCGCTGCTGCTGATCGTGTCATTCGACGGGTTCCGGTACGACTACCTGGATAAGACGAACACACCAAACTTTGACGCCCTGATCGCAGATGGAGTGAAAGCCAAGTGGATGGAAGCCTCCTTCCCCACGAAGACTTTTCCAAACCACTACACTCTTGCGACGGGTGAGTTGGGAACTTGTATGTGTGCAGGTGTTAATTCTATTTCAGGGCCATAACAATGGGGTAGGATTAGGCAGCGTTGACCAACTGACATATATATATATATGTCTGTATATGGACGAGGCAACCACTCTTTAGTTGTTGCTGGGTTAGCCTCAGGATCAACCGCGCAATTTGTGCGTGGTTTTACACGCGTGCATGCTCATATGTCGACTGTATAACACTTTGTTGCTAGGAATTGTTTTGAGAACGTCAGATCGCGTCAGGTATTGGCTAGTGCCGTGTATCAATGCCAGGTATAGCTGGGTCATTCACTCAGTCAATTAATTAATGAGTTAGTTAATCAATTGATTAATCAATGCACGAGCAACCGTTTACAAGCGGTAATATTTGTTGCGTGGTCAGTTAATTGCCATGATTTCATCCGATGAGTCTTGTGATCGAGAATGATTTCATCATGGCGTTCGGTGTGAATCGTACAATCATGTCACGAACATATTCTAGCGATCCATGTTGATACCGCGGCGCCCCCTATCTGCAGGTCTGTACGAGGAGTCGCACGGCATCATCGCCAACAATTTCTACGACCCTGACCTTGATGCGACCTTCCACAAGAGAACGAGCATGACCGAATCCCGTTGGTGGGACGCCGGCGCCGAGCCGATCTGGGTGACCAATCAGAGATGCGACCGCGCGAAGGAGGCGGAGCCTGGCTGCCGCTCACGCCGCAGCGGCGCCTTCTTCTGGGTCGGGTCGGAGGCCGAGGTCAAAGGTCAGCAGCCGCACCGTTACATGGCGTACGACGAAAGTTATCCGTTTCGTGACCGAGTCGAAACGGTCGTCTCGTGGTTGACGGATGCAGACGCGCCCACCAACCTGGGACTGATGTACTTTCACGAGCCGGACAGCACAGGACACACGCACGGGCCGGATTCACCCGAGCTAGCCACGGCAGTCAAGATGGTGGACGACGTGGTAGGCCACCTGGTGAAGAGACTGCGCGATGTTGGCCTCTATGATAGAGTCAACCTGATCGTCACGAGGTAATATACCGATCGTGTGCACCATACATATACTATAGTCCAGCGGATAAGCAGGATGATACTCTATTAGGAGTAGGATTAGGATTAATGGTTAGGGTTATGTTATAGGTTAGGTTAGGGTTAGGGTTAGGATTATCAATCATTAATCATTAATCATTAATGATATCAAAGTTGGGAACACTTCTAATGGAGCGTTAGCCGATAAGCACATGGATTGTGCACTTTTGGTTAGAATTGTAAAACTTTGCACACGCGTAGGCTACTACATAAGCTCCTGAAGAATTTCTGATTTAGACGGCCGTACGCAGGAAATTTTCTGTAGGTGGGCAAATACGCAGGACATTTTCTGTAGGGGGGGCAAAGGTACTCCCCACGCCCTCTATTGCCCTATTTGTCCCATTAAAAGGCATACTCTGAAAATCTCTAGGGGGGGGGGCAACTGCCCCTGCTGCCCCCCTGCTGCGTACGGCCTTGGATATAGTGCCAAGCGAACAGAGCCATCTGGTGGCATACAGCGCCCCCTGGCGTGTTAACGGGTATTGCGTTATAACACTCTTAGGGTTTTGGCTATAATTTCAATAATACTCATCCAATTTATTCAGGAAATAGCTCAAATGATTCGTAGATATCTGTACTAATATTCTCGAATCAATTTATTGAGTGTAGCTATCTTTAAGTTGTAATAAAATATTGAAGAGGTTGAAACAGTGACATGGTTATAAATAATGAAAACTTGCATATTAAATGACCGATATGTCATAAATCATCGTCATGCAGTCTTAATTGTTAACATTGAGTATTTGCCTACCAAATAAAGAACATTTTGACATATAGCTTGCTTAGATAATCTTTGATATATCGGTCGTTTAATATAGGCTACTAGTGGAAGGAAAATTTTCAATTTTGAACCATTTCATTGTTTCAACCTTATTTTATTGTTTTAACTTTATTTCTTGAATAAATTGGATAAGTATTATTGCAATTATAGCCAAAACCAAAAGAATAGTGTAACAAAATACCCGTGAACCCACTAAGTGGCGTTGTGTGCCACCAGGTGGCGCTGTTCAATTGGCACTATATCAGAAATTCTTCAGGACCTTTTGTATTATGCGTGTGCAAAGTTTCACAATTCTAACCAACAGCTAGTGCACTATCTGCTTATTTTTATGTTCTTATCCGCTGGACTATACTATATACTCTACCACTCACACACGTCGCTATAACACTTGGTATACTAATGCCAGTGTTGTAGGTCTCGAGACCGGTCTTGGCCTCGAGACCGGTCTCGAGACCGTTTTCCTTGGTCTCGGTCTCGTTCTCGGCCTCGGAGTGCAATGACTCGGACTCGGACTCAGACTCGAGCCCTCCGGACTCGAGGACTCGGGTCGAGACCGGCTCGAGGCCACTACATACATATAGTAGTCATAGATGCTGTTTGTCGCGCTTTAAATCGCGCGTGGGCCGAGTTCACGCGCATCATTCGTATTCAACCACCGGCATAATAATGTACACAGGCGCGCGGTTAATCAATCGTCTACTGCGGCTGGCAGCAATATGCTGGTCCCAAAAGTGTCGACTTATGCAAGTTTTATGGTACTTTCTATTTTATGCAAACAAGTGACAGATCCAGGGGACAGGAAACACCCCCCCATTTTTGAACAAACACATACATAGAAGTGAGTGGCCTTGTCGGTCTGTGCCCCCCTTTTTTATCAAAACTGGACTCGGACTCGGACTCGGACTCGGACTCGGACTCGGGTGGTGTGGACTCGGACTCGAGTGGCGCGGACTCGGACTCGGACTCGGACTCGGACTCGGACTCGGGGGGTGCGGACTCGGACTTGGACTCGGACTCGGGGTGTGCGGACTCGACTACAACACTGACTAATGCTGCAGGCAAGCTTAGCTTGGTCTATAGTTGACATGGTCTTTATAGTTACCTCCCCCCAACGGAGTTGGAGGAGGTTATGTATTCGCTCTTGTGTGTTCGTGTGTTCGTGTGTTTGCGCGATCGATATTAGCGCGTCAGCCATCTCAGCCAGCCAGCCAATGATACCCATGCAGCGAGCAGCAGCAACGAGCGGCTGCTACGAGCGAGCGAGCAGCAAGCCAGCAAGCCAGCGTGTACATGTGAGCGAGCAGCAGCAACGAGCGGCTGCTACGAGCGAGCGAGCAGCAAGCCAGCAAGCCAGCGTGTACATGTCAGTACGCTGGCGTATATCGTGGCTTATTCGTGTGTTCGTGAGTCGTATGGCGTGCGGCGTATGTCGCTGGCGGAATTATGCACTCTCCGTGAGTGCACTCTGTCTAGTTACTAGTTAATTTCATTTGATATTCAGTATTTTTTTAGCCATCGTCCATTGGTGGTTGCAATGTCGTTGGTAAGCTTATTCGCTCGTGATAGCTAGGCTTGTACCATTGGCAGCGTTTGTGTTTTGACGAGAAACGATTTGTCGACCTTCCACTGCAGAACTCGTGATAGCGCAGGCATCGATCGGCCACCGTGCGTGGCGCCCCCTGATGCACCGCTGTTGGAAGGTAACGTGCTGCTCTTGTGTTTGTAGCGATCATGGGATGACGTCTGTTCACCCGAAAAATACGATAATGCTGGACGACTACATTGACAGCGCCACCTACAGGGGACAATCGATTCCGGGTTCCGTCGCACTTATCTACCCCATGGCAGGTAGCGCTCTCTGGTGGTGCAATGGTGGGGTTCCTTTTTCATGGCCAGAGGCGTGTACAGGGGGTATAACCGTAACCCAAACTTGCGAGCACGCGAGTACAGGATTTGTAGCAGGGGGGGGGTCTAACCGTAACCCGAAGTTGCGAGCACGCAATGGAAATTTT